AGAACGCAAGCTAACAAACCATGGCCCACAGGCCAAATCTGGCCAGCTGTCCATTCTTTTTTGTAAATAAAGTTTTATTGGAACACGGCCATGCTTAATCATTTAGGTATTTGTGTTTGACTACTTTTTCCTACAATGGCAGAATATATGACCTACAGGGCCTAAATTACTTACTATCTGGACATAGATAAGAAAAAATTCTAACCCTTGCATTATAGCTTACAAGTGAGACTTCATTTTAACACCTAATTATTAATCAACGTGAATTTATAAAACAGCACTCAACACAACCAGAATCCTACCAAGTTTTGCTTGCACAGAATTCCATTGGGCTCCTCTTACTGTCTTCTCTCAAACAAATGCTTGGCTGCGTTGCACCCTGCATGTGCTATTTGCTGTTTGTTGTCACTTTTAACCTATTAACAATTTACCTCCTTTACATTCTCCCTTTCTGTTGTGCACAACACGGTGTATCCCTATTGCCACACTTGTGTGCTGTGATATTTAGAAAATGCTTCTCTATGTTTATAAAATTCCACAGGAAATATCACTGCTCCCTCAGGAAGGGTGTTCTGGAATTGTTCACATTCTTCACCATTTACAACTCACTTCTAGAATTGTATATGCTCTTGAAAATGTATCATTCACCAGAGTCTGAGAAAATGATTTAACACAAATTACATATTCATTTAAATTATGTAGACTCAGAAAAGAAAAAGCCACAGTAAGGTCTAGTCTGTATAATAATACAAAAAGCCATAGTAAGGTCTAGTTTGTATAATAATAAACAAATTTGTCTTAGAAATAATATATAAGATTCAAATTCTAAAATAAGCTGGAAAATGTAACTGATAGAAATGAAACATTTTCAGTCTTAAAAGAAATGGATATTTTATGGCAGTAATAGCAAAATTTGGAAAGGCTGGGAAATATTTTTGCTTAGTAAACATTTGAGTGTTGATAATTTCTGTCAATTCATAGGAATATGTGAAGACATTTAATCTGATGTTTATTTTACCAGGTATAGATTTTTGCTGTAATTGTGAGAAATACATTATTAAATAGGCAACATGGTAGATGTCATACATAATGCTTTCTTGCAGAAATTGTGAACAAATAAATATTCTCTTCTTTTCTCCTCTCTAGAACAGTGTCTGGAATACAACAGACATTCAAACTATCGAATGAATGAATAAATGAAAATTAAGTTCAAGTCACATTCATATGAGTTTTAAAAATACTTTTTTTAACTGTGATTATGATTCTTCAATAAATTTATGACTATATTTTTGCCTTTTTCTTATTACAGAATCATTTAAAATCAGGTTACTAGCTAGGGAAACATCTGGGCAACATGTAAGAAAGAATGTCCAACCTGATCCTAATTCTTGTGTATGGTTCTTCTGGAAAGCAGTCCTGGAAGATCTTAACTTTCATATTTATTTTATATAGCTGCTTCACTACCTACAAGCCAAGATAAGTTGGATTATTAAAATTATTGATGCCAATAAGGATAGACAAATAGATCCATGTAACAGAACAGAAAGTCCAGAAATATATGGTCAATTCACATATGTGGTCAATTCATTGTTGACAAAGATGCCAAGACAATTCAATGAAGACAGGAAAATATTTTTCAAAAATGATAATGAAACAGCCAGATACACAGAGGGAGAAAATTAATGTCAATTCCCTACTTTCACCACACACAAAAATTAACTCAAGATAGATCATAGAGCTAAATGTAAAGCAAAAGCTATAAAGCTTCTAGAAGAAAGCAAAGGAAAATATTTTCACATTTTCAAAGATTTTATAGACAACACAAAAACACTAAATATAAAAGAAAAACATAATAAATTATACTTCCTCTAAGTTAGAAACTTCTGCTCATTATAAACACTATTAAGAAATTAAAAGATAAGCCACAGATTAGGAAGACATGTTTGCAAGACATGTATATGAAAAGAAATATATATGTATACATATATGTATAAACTAAGACAAGTAACCACATTTTTTAAAATAGGCAAAATCTTTGAGTAGATTATTCACAGCAGAAAATATATAGTCAAAAGATCATGAAATAATACTCAACATTATTAGCTGTTAGTCATCAGGAAAATGCAAATAAAAATCACAGAGATAACCACCAGACACACGCACTGGAAGGCTCAAATTTAAAAGACTGCCAATACAAATGGAAGATGTGGAAAAACTGGAACTGTCATACACGCCTGGCGGCAATGTGAAACATGAGAACCACTTTGGAAAACTGTTTAGTAGTTTCTCATATAGTTAAACCTACACCTACCTAAATGGTATTGGCATTCTAAATAATTACCTAAGAGAAATGAGAGTATATGTCCACAAAAAGTCACATACAAATGTTTACAGAAGCTTTACTCATAGTAGTGAAAAACTGGAAACAACCCAAATATACATCAACAGATAAATGGATTAAAAATAATGGCATATCTGTACAATAGAATATTGCTCCACAATAACAATGAACTATTGATATACATAACATGGATCCCTCTGAAAACATGATGCTAAAAAAGTCAGATACAAAAGAGAATAACCTGAATCATTCCATTTATATGAAACCCTAGAATAGGCAAACTATCTGTAATGATAAAAAGTACATCAATGATTGCTTGGTGGGTAGGTGAGTAGGTGGAGAATTGACTACAAAGTTTAATGGACATGTTCTTACATTGATACCATTGGTGGTTACATGAATGTAATCATTTGGCAAAACTCACCAAATTATATGCTTAAAATGGGTGCATTTTATTGTGTGGGGATTATACATTAATGAAGAGGATATGAAAAGAAAAATATTTTAAATGGATAAAAGATGTGAACAGATCATTAAAAAGAGATACAAAAGATAGAAAGAGATAAAATAGATCTCCAACAAGCCCATGTAAAAATGCTCAACTTCATTAGTCATCAGGCAAATGCATATTATGATAATAGTGACATATCATTTCTTACTCATTATAAATATCTACCCTATCACCCATCAATTTCACTCCTAGTTCTGAATCCAGAATAAATGAAAACATATCCACTGAAAGGCTTATGCAGATTTGTTTTAGATTCTACATATAAATGAGATCATAAGTTTTTGTCTTTTTATTTCTGTCTTATTTCACGTAGCATAATGTCCTCCAGGTTATCCAGGTTGTTGAAAATGGTAGGATTTCCTTCATTTTTAAGGTTTAATAACATTCCATTTTATATATATACCACATTTTCTTTATCCATTCATCTGTCAATGGACACTTAAGTCATTTCCATTATCTTGGCTATTGCAAATAATGTGGCAATGTACAAGGTAGTGCAGATATTTCTTTGACACATTGATTTCATTCCCTTTGGATATATACCCAGCAGTGGGGTTGCTGGAGCATTTGGTAGTTCTATGTTTAACTTTTTGAGGAACCTCCATTCTGTTTTCCATAATGGCTGTACCAATTTACCTTCCCATCAACAGGGTACAAGGGTTCTCTTTTCTCCTCATCCTTGCCAACACTTGCTATTGTTCATCTTTTTGATAATAGCCATTCTAATAGGTGTGGTTTTTGTTTGCACATCCTAATGATTAGTGATGTTGAGCATCTTTTCATATACCTGTTGGCCATTTGAGTAGAATGGGGGTTACCAGGGGCTGGAGGATAGGGGTGAAGGGAAGATATTGGTCCAAAGGTATAAACTGTCAGCCATGAGATGAATAAGTACCAGAGACCTAATGTACACCATGGTGACTATAGTTAATAATAATGTATTTTATACTTTAAATTTGCTAATATAGTAGAATCCAAGTGTTCTCACTACCAAAAATAAAAGGTAACTATGTGAGGTGATGAATATTTTAATTAGGTTGACTGTGGTAACATTTCACAATGTATATATATATCAAAGCATCTCATTGTGCATGCTAAATATATACAATTCTTATTTGTCAATCATACCTACATAAAACTGGAAACATTTTAAAATAAAAAAAATTGGGGGAAAAAAGACTTGTGCAAGTTTATAGCCACTTTAGTTATAGAAGGCCCAAACTAGAAACAAACCAAATACCAATCAATAGAATAAACAAATGTGAAATAATCAGATAATGCAATTATACTCATCTGTAAAAAGAATTGAACTACTGATATACAAAGCAACATGGAAAAATTTGAAAAACATTCTGCTGAGCCCAAGTCAGATATAAGAATATGTATTGTATGATTCTATTCATATAAAGTTCATGAATGGCTAACCTACTCTTTGGTGATAGAAATCAGAATGACCGTTACCTATGGAGGGAAGATTGGCTAGAAAGGAAGTGAGGAAACTTGTGGAGTGACAGAAATATCCCATCCCTTGACCGAGGTGATGGTTACATGGTATATATCTATTAAACTCATTGATTTTAGGAACTTGAATTTAAGAACTCAAAATTGGTCGCATATTATTCCTTGTACATTTTATCTCAATTAATAAAACAACAATAAAAAACTCCAGCCAAGTCAATTGAGTAATTACAGCCTTTAATCACCCCTTTTCTTTCATGGATAATCTGGCTAATAAATACATAATGGATTAATGTTAAAAATCTACTTTGTCTACTTTTCTTTGAAGAAAATTATTTTAAAAATCATCCCTTTACATGGAATTTGATTACCTTTTAGCTATTAGAACATTTAATTCATAGTTCACGCATCATTGCCAGCATCATCCAATGATGTAAAATGATATTTACTGCTTTGCTTAGCAGTACTTGAGGGTTTTTACTTAAGGACTAATTATTTTTCCTTGGATTTATTTTCTATAGCAAGGAAATATTTACTGCACACTAGTAAGAAGGAAGTAGAAGAGACCAAAAATATCTAAAATAAGCAGTCGTTATTAGTTGAAAGGAAAGATTTGAGATTTAAGAGTTACCAGACAAAAGAGCATACCTTCTGGGAGCCTTATCTTGTATCATTTGTTCCGTTTTTTGCCTTTCTATTTTGATCATGGCATTCTGAGCACCTCTGAGTATTGAAGAAGGGGGCTGGTGGAAACGGGAAGAATAGCTGAAAGCTCCAAGATTCACAGCCCCTCTTGCAGGTGTTGGTATTAGTACGTGAGGCTGCTGGGTAACAGGAACCTCAGCCTTTGTCGCCTGGATGTATCCTGGCAACCTGTCAACAAAAGGAACCGGACTGAGTTGTCTAGTAACTGACTGGGAAAATCCAAAACAAGGGGAGAAGGAACTCAGAAACAGACAGCAAAATAGGCGTGGACCTCAGCTTTCTTTTAAATTGATTCCAGGAATTTTACCAATGGATTGAGTATCCGACAAGGAGAGGCAGATTAATTGAAGTCACAAGGCTCTTTTTGATGTGAAAACTCAACTAATTTTTAAGGAAGAAAAGAATATTTACTGATTATCTTACTGATCTTTTCTAGGGACTTTTGAAAGTATCATCTAAATGGAAGAGTTTGGTCTCTTCTAAAACGGGGAGATGAATATTCTTCCTGATTCTCAAAGGGTGTTCTATGCTTTGGTCTAAAATGCAAGGAACTGCGAGATGTAGACTCTATGCTTCGTTTATTTTTCTAACGTGTCCTAAGATATAAAAAACATTTTTAAAAACTAAGATCAACATTTAAAAATATATCTGAAATAATAATTTTTTTACACCTCATATTTAGAAATACTCTGAGATATTGAGATAATTGTGGTACAATTCCACAATGAAATACTCTGCAAGAGTTAAAGTTATGAGATGAAAGAGCTTATTAACATGGGAAAAGGTTCACAATATATTGCTAAACGTAAAAGAGAAGCTACAAAACAGAACAAATAGTATGGTCTCATTAACTGTGTGTGTGTGTGTATGCACACACACGATTAACTCAGTGGACATATACCAAATTTTAACAGTGGTTACCTATGCGTGGTGAGATTAAGGAACATTTTATTGCGTGTTCCTTGGAGTTAAGGGTCAAAAAAGCCTCATACAACCTCTAGTATTTCGAGACCCTGCCCCTCGTCCCCAGATAATGCAGTTGGGATTGTTAATTCTGCTGAAGTGATTTCAGAGCACACAGTCTGGAGATCCCACTGTACAATAAACTTCCACATCCTAACTTGCTATAGTGCTGTAAAGATGAACAGATATATCCTCTACAGACATTTAAAGATATCTCAGATATCTCAATTATGCTATCACATAAAATAGTTCTAATTTTCTTCTGAAATCATTTAAAAGACACCATATAAAATAATAACCCTTGCCTAAAATGCCATAAGAGCTGCTGTGATGTCAGTGACTAAATACTGAGATGGGGGCAAGAAAACTCAGTTTTACCTGTGACCTTTTTCTAACTGTTGTGTCCCTACTTAGCATACTTCTCACTTTACACACACTGCCTGCGTTGCTGGACTTACTGTGAGCTAAATGCGATATTACTCTAAAGAAATTGCCCAGTAAATGAACAAACACTACCCCAATGCACACACGCTATTCAGCCCAGCGTCTGGGTACTTGGTCCGGACGGCAGAGCAGCCGGGAAGCGCTGACCTATGACAGGCGCACGACCCCAGGAAACATCGCGAGAACTGGTATTTCCAGGAATTCTTTATCCCAACCGTAGCAACTGCTTTCGGGAGACCCAAGAATAGCAGAGCTCGCAGCAGCTGTGAGCTGGGTGCACCCACAGCCCTCTCCTCCCTGGTGCGGTCGCCAGGTTGCGCCGGCTGCTTTTCTGCGTTTGCCGAAGCTGCTTTTGAAACGGGCTGGAGAGGATCCTTCGTTTACTCCCAAATTCTGGACTCGTTTGAAATTCATGCGTTTGTAGTTTCAGCCTAAACTGAACTTCCTGGTGCTCAAATGTATTTCATCTTGGCAGAACAGGCCTTCCTAGGTTCTCTCCTCTGTCTCTCTCTCCTTTTAAAGAAACCAAAACTTTCAAGCTGCTTATATTTAAACACACACACACACACACACACACACACACACACAGTCTCTCGGACGGCATCTTGGACATCAAATAGCTCTTACAACACACAACCTTTGATGATTTAAGTGTAAATGAAGCAGAAACATATGGATTCTTTTTCCCATAAATCACATACGGTCCTAAAAAATCAAGGGGGAATGTACTTGGCATCATGTATTCTATCTGGTTGAACCCAAAACATCTGAAGAATACTTAGAGGCTAATGAATCCAAAATATTTACCCATCCCTATTTATAACGGTGGGGGCGGGGGGAAGCCCTTGATTTATGGCGACAGCTAAACTGCTCACATCTGTTGAGTAGGCAACAAGCAACCAGCGTGAGCTTCCAGATAACAGTGTCTTTCTTCTGTTCCGGCTCCAGGCAGTCAGCTCAGCCTCGGATCAAAGACACTGAAGCCCTTACTTCAGCCGGTCTGGTTTGCTATTGCTTGAGCTTTTCTCACCTAGAACAATTGCGAGTTATTTCAAGTTATGTGATGTCCAATCATGCTTTTGTCACTGAGGGATGATGCCAGCCTCCACCAATAATCCAGATCTGACCCCTTGTGGCAGTAGCCCCACCACAAGGAATTCTGGCTTATTTTCCCTTCATAAAATCACAGCTGTTGTCCCGCCCCTGACATTTTCATTAAAGGAGTAAATCATGGTGATTTTTATGGAGCAGGAGGAATGCTTCTCCTTGCTGGTATCTCTGACCATCCACACGTCTCTTCATTGATGCAAACCCCAATCTTCGCAAGCTATTGATAATCGTTTTGAGTTTATTTAAACTTGGCAGGGACTACATTCTGTGTGCAAGGATTTTTTGTTTTTTAACTGGCAACAGCAGGAATCCAAACAGGATGTTTGTGAAGTCTGGCAAAATAGGTTCACTGGGCGCCTTGTTTTCTTCTACCCAATTATTTTTTACTTCATACTTACCGCCTAACTCAGAAACAGCCAGTGCCAGCCACCTGAAATCTGTTATCTCATCCTTTAACAACCCACAAGGTTAGGCATTAGTATCCTTGTTTGGCAGGTGAGGAAACTGGGGCTCAGGGGCATTAAGCCACTTGCCCCTGATGGCAAGGCTAATCCAAAGCAAATCTGGATGGACGTGAAGGTCTTTCTGCTGCCCAACAACTTTCCTTCCACTGCATTCTGCAAGATCTTGCTTCCAGATTGCCATATCAAATAGACTGACCTCAAAAAAGAGAGTCATTTTCTAAATATGCCTTTTGTCACAAGAACAGCCTTTGCATAAATTGAGCTTTGTATACTGTACTGTATTGCATTTACAAATGTCTAAATGTATGGCTAAGTAGTATTCCATGGTATACATACACCACATTTTCTTAATCCACTCATGAATTAGTTGGCACTTAGGTTGATTCTACATCTTTGCAATTGTGAGTTGTGCTGCGATAAATATTCGAGTGCAAGTGTCTTTTTGATAAAATGACTTCTTTTCCTTTGGATAGATATCCAGTAGTGGGATTGCTGGATCCACATTTATTTCTTTGAGGAATGTCTGTACCGTTTAATATTTTGAAGAAAAAAAAGATCTAAATTTAAAACATTGCAGGCCAGGCGCGGTGGCTCACGCCTGTAATCCTAGTACTCTGGGAGGCCGAGGCGGGTGGATTGCTCAATGTCAGGAGTTCAAGACCAGCCTGAGCAAGAGCGAGACCCCATCTCTACTAAAAAAGAAATGATCTGGACAACTAAAAATATATATATATAGAAAAAATTAGCCGGGCATGGTGGCACATGCCTGTAGTCCCAGCTACTCGGGAGGCTGAGGCAGAAGGATTGCTTGAGCCCAGGAGTTTGAGGTTGCTGTGAGCTAGGCTGATGCCACGGCACTAACTCTAGCCCGGGCAACAAAACGAGACTCTGTCTCAAAAAAAAAAAAAATAATAAAAATAAAATAATTTAAAACATTGCAAAACGTGCCCTGTGGTAGATTAGAAAGAATGAGGGGGGGATACACTTTAAAGATGAATTTTTAAAAGTTTTAAAAAATTGATTATATATCACTTAACTCCAGTGAGAATGGCCTTTATCAAAAAGTCCCAAAACGATAAATGTTGGCATGGATGCAGAGAGATAGGAACACTCATACACTGCTGGTGGGACTGCAAACTAGTACAACCTCTGTGGAAAGCAATATGGAGATGCCTCAAAGAGCTACAAGTAGAACTACCATTTGATCCAGCAATCCCATTAGTGGCCATCTACCCAAAGGAAAAAAAGACATTCTATAAAATGACATCTGCACTAGAATGTTTATGGCAGCACAGTTCACAAAGATGTGGAAACAACCCAAATGCCCATCAATACATGAGTGGATAAATAAAATGTGGTATATGTATACCACGGAGTTCTACTCAGCCACAAAAAACAATGGTGAACTAGCACCTCTTGTATTATCCTGGATAGAGCTGGAGCCCATTCTACTAAGTGAAGTATCACAAGAATGGAAAAACAAGCACCACATGTACTCACCATTAAATTGGTACTAATTGATCAACACTTATGTGCACATATAGTAGTAACATTAATCAGGTGTCGGGCAGGTGGGAGGGGGCAGGAGGGGATGGGTGTATTCACACCTATTGGGTGTATTCACACCTATTTGGTGTGGTGCGCACCATCTGAGGGCTGGACAAGCTTGAAGCTCTGACTTGGGTAGGGCAAAGGCAATATATGTAACCTAAACATTTGTATCCCCGTAATATGCTGAAATAAAAAATCATTGATTATATTTGATGCATCAGCGTCCTGCTCACCAGATCTTAAAACCTCAAGGATTCCTTGCCCTAAGGCAGGTGAGTGTTTCCGAAACTGTTTTTATCATTGCCCCTCCCCCACCAAGACTTTTTAAGTTTATTTTCCTAATTCTCCTTCACCCGCCACAAAATTTTAATATCACAGATTTACCTTATATCGGTTTATGTACTGAGGCCCTTTGGTGGGCCACAAAGCAATATAATATCTGAGATTATGTCACGCCCAAAAGCAATTTCCAAGGCTCCCATGGGGAATGCATGCCGAGGGAGATGCATCCAAAGAGCGGACAAAGTTGTTGGCCTCAGGTGATCTCATGGTCAAGTGGACGTGCAGAAAAGTGGTCAGGAGGACACAGACACCATAACCCTTCCCAAATTGC